GGGGAGAATACTAAATAGACAATAGATAAGTGGTAACTTTGGTGAAGGGTAAGACAGTACACAATACTGGGGAAGCGAGTATAACTTGTAAAAGTCAATGTCATGGAAACTCCATGGACACATCCAAACTCCCTGAGGGACCGAATTGCTGGGCTGAAGGCTGTGGGGCCTCAATGGTCTCGGGGAATATCTAGCTCAATTGACATAACGTAGTTTATAAAGAGAATGTTCTACATTCTACCTTGGTGAGTAGAGTCTGGGATCTTAAAAGCCTGTGAGCAGCCATCTAAGATACTCCACTGGTCTCACCCCTTTGGGAGCAAGGGAGAATGAAGAAAACAAGACACAAGGGAAAGATTAATCCAAAGTACTAATGGACCACACCTACCACAGCCTCCACCACACTGAGTCCAGTACAACTAGATAGTGCTCAGCTACCACCACCGACTGCTCTGACAGGAATCACAACAGAGGGTCCCGAACAGAGGTGGAGAAAAGTGTAGAACAAAATTCTAACTCAAAAAAAGACCAGACTTACTAACCTGACAGAGACTGGAGAAACCCCGAGAGTATGGCCCCCAGCCACCCTTTTAGCTCAGTAATGAAGTCTCTCCCGACGTTCACCATTCAGCCAAAGATTAGGCAGGCCCATAAAACAAAATGAGACTAATGGGGCACAACAGCCTAGGGACAAGGACTAGAAAGCAGGAGGGGACAAGAAAGCTGGTAATAAGGAACGCAAGGTCGAGAAGGGAGAGTGTTGACTTATGTTGTGGGGTTGTTAACCAATGTCATAAAAAAATGTGTACTAACTGTTTAGTGGGAAACTATTTGTTTTGTAAACCTTCATCTAAAGTACAATAAAAAAAAATTTAAAAAGTATAAGTCAATCCAAAACCAGGCAGGAAAAGATGGAAACGGGAACAAAGAACAGATGGAATGAATAGAAACCAAATAGAAAGGTGATAGACTTAAATTCAACTATATCAATAGTTACATTAAATGTAAATGGATTAACAGACCAATCAAAAGGCAGATGTTAGATTGGATAAAAATGGTAGACTCAACTATATGGTGTCTGTGAGAAATGTATTAAAAAATGCAAAGGCACAGATAGATAATGTACTGTTTCAAAAGATAGAAGGAGCACTTTCCATTTCATGTGGTCAGTATTATCCTGATACCCAAATCAGGCAAAGATATTAAATGACAAGAAAATCATAGACCTATATCCCTCTTCAATATACATGCTAAAATCCTTAACAAAATATTAGGATTTTGAGTCTCGCAATATATAAAAAAAAGAATAATGCATTTACCAAGTGGCATTTACATCATGAATACAGGTTGGATTAACATTTGAAAAATCAATGTAATTTAGCATATAACAGAATAAAAGAGGAACAACCATAGAATCAGCTCAACAGATGCAGAAAATGCATAGTAACAAATTACAGTACCCATTTATGATATGAACTCTCAGCAAAAAGGAATAGAAGGGAACTTCCTCAACATGATAAAGGGCATTTATGAAAAACTCATAGTCAACATCACACTTAATGGTGAAAGACTTAACGCTTCCCCCATCTAAGATGAGGAAAAAAGGAAAGAATGTTGTCTGTCACCATTTCTATCCAACTTTGTACAGGGAGATCTAGCCAGTGAAATAAGGGAAGAAAAAGAGAGAAAAGGAATACATATTATAAAGGAAGAAGGAAAATTGCCTTTATTAACAGATACCTTGATTGTATACACAAAAAATCCTAAGGAATCTATGAAAAAAGCTGCTAAAATCAGTGACTGAATTAAGCAAAGTCACAGACTGCAAGGTCAATGTACAGAAGTCAAGTATACGTGTATGTATTGTTGTTGTTGGGTGCCTTTGAGTCAGTTCCCACTCATAGCCACCCCATGCACCACAGAACGAAACACTGCCCGGTCCTGCACCATCCTCACAATCGTTGTTATGCTTGAGCCCATTCTTGCAGCCACTGTGTCAGTCCATCTTGTTGAGGGTCTTCCTTTTTCTTCCTTTTCTCTACCTTACCAAGCATGATGTCCTTCTCCAGGGACTGGTCCCTCCTGATAACATGTCCAAAGTATGTGAGATGAAGTCTCGCCGTCCTTCCTTCTAAGGAGCATTCTGGCTGCACTTCCAAGACAGACTTGTTTGTTCTTCTCGCAGGCCGTGGGATATTCAATATTCTTCGCCAGCACCACAATTCAGAGACGTCTACTCTTCTGTCTTCCTTATTCTATATATTAGCAATGAACAATAAACAATTGGAAAAGAAAATTTAAAAAGAAACACCGTTTACAATAGTATCAAAAACACAAGTACTAAGACATTAATGTAGCAAAATATTTGTAAGACATTTCATGGAAAACTACAATAAGTGTATGGAAGGATGCTGAACATCATTAGTTGTCATGGAAATACCAATTAAAAACACACTGAGTTACTACTACACACTCCCTAGAATGGCTAAAACTTTAAAGGAATGGCAAAAGCAAGTGATGGCGAGGATGTAGAGTAACTAGAATACCCATATTTTCCTGGTGGTAATGCAATGGCAATAGTTGTAGCAGGTTCTTATAAAAACTGAACATGCGTTTAGCATCCTAATTTCCACTCCTAGGGGTCTCCACAAGAAAAATGAAACCATACGTATCCATATAAAACCTTGTACAGAAATGTTCATACCAACTTTATTTATAATAGTCAGATGTTGGAAATAACCCAAATGTCCATCAACAGATGAATGGATTAACAAATTGTGGCATCTGCCTAAAATGGAACACTACTCAGTAATAAAATAAATAAAAAATGGACTACTGATATATGCAACAACATGGATGAATCTCATAAGTCTTACGCTGAACACACTCTGTGATGCCATTTATATGAAATTCTGCAAAAGGCAAAGTTAGTCTATAGGGACAGAAAGCAGACCAGTAGTTGCTTATGGCCAGGGCTTAGGGGTTGGAGTACTGACTCCAAAGGGCATGAGGGGACTTTTTTGGGGTGATAGAAATGCTGTATATTTTGATCTGGTGGTGGTTACATGGATGTGTACATTTGTCGAAACTCATCAAAACCATATGATTAAAAAGAGTGAATTCTATAATATGTAAATTGTACCTTAATAAATTTTATTTAATTTTTTTAATGTAAACTAGAAAGCAAAAGAAGTTGGCCAATCTTGCCTATAAAGATGTAGTAAAGCTTCAGGAGGATGCCCGGTCTGAAGGTCATTCTTCCAACAATCTTACAGGGGAAGCCCCCACAATCTACCCATCCGATCTGGGCACCTCAGTTTTTTTTTTATTTGTTTGTTGTTTTATTTCCATGGCTTCAGTTTTCTAGGTAGATTTGAGAAACAGCAGTGGTCACCCACATCTTAAGATTCAAGGCTTTGCCAGAACCGGGAAGCCTCTCCTTATCCTTACATAGTCAGGGAGGTAACAGATGCACAATATACCAGCATTGCCGGCCTCTGTCCTCACTGCTTTGGGTCAGACTTCACCTAGAAATGCTTTTCTCAGGAGCATCCTTTCCTGTACCAAGAAGTGGGAAATGCTCTGGCCTGGAAGTCAAGACTGAGTTTAACTCTCAGCTTTGCCACCAAATAGATTGGTGATCCTAGGAAAGTTCCTTCTCCGTTCTGGGCTTTTGTTGTTGTAGGCCCTGTAATTTAGGTTTTTAAGTAGCATTCAGAACCTTGCAAAATCTACCTGTTCTACGTGTTCCTCCATTCCAGATGGTGTTTATCTCCATTTATTCATGTATTCATCCATTCATTCAACAGGCATTTTAAAATTCCTGCTATCTGCCGAATGCTGTGCTAGATAATGGGCATACAGCAGTGAACGGAAAGAAAGAGTAGCATCCACAAGATCTCACAGTCTGAAACGGGTGGGATGGGAATTCAAGTCTAGGTCTGCCTGATTCCGAAGTGCGTACTCTGGCCACTCTACCACACTTCCACTGCATGACTGCAACTTCCAAGTTAGTGACCAAAGGGGAAGTGAGGCTTGTTCTTTGTTAGGTAGAGGGCCACGAGTTCTCATTTTGCCCTGTACGTCTTCACAATGTATGTGTGTGCATACATATGATTATTTGTCTCCCTCCATTAGAAAGAAGTCACTAGGGCCCTGGACCAAGCCTGTCAGATGCAGTAGAGTAAGTGAGCCCAGGGCCTGGCACATCATAGGACTTTAATCTGAGAGGGAAGGAAGTGGAAGGGAGGACAGGATACTAAACTGCCTTGTAGGATGGGGGAATGCTACTTCCAGGGCCTCCTACCTGGGTGTGTGGACATGGTCAATCGTACTCCATCCAGATTCCCACTGAGGAATCCATGTAAGTGTCTCCCACATGTTGGGAAAGCATGAGCTCTTCAGACTTGCCCTCAGAGGTCTCCAATGTCCTCCATTACTTCCATATTTTCCACTGTGTGTGTGTGTGGTGCGTGTTCTCTCAGAGCCGTCTCTTGCAGTTGCTGTGAGCAGCAGAGCCATCTTTTGTGTCTGTTCATTATCAGGGTAAAGATATTATTTCTACACACCTCTCGTCTCCAGTGCAATCTTTAAATTGGTTAATTTACCTGATAGCCTGCTGAGAAGAATCAAGATTATCAACCCCATTTCAGAGATAACTACACTGTGATCAGGAGTGAATGAGCCAGTGACCTGGTGTTTCTAGGCTCGTAGGGGCTGGTTAAGGTGGCACAGTTAGGGTAGAGAAGTTATACTTGTTTGTCTAAAGGTGGCAGGGTGGGATTCAGAGCTGATCAATAAATCCGCAAACTGAATGCTGCTTCAAGAGGCTACCTAGTCCATTTAATCCGTCCTTTGTGCTCTTAAAGACTCAAATCTCAGTGAATCTAAACTAACAAAATCTACTGTTATTCTTAGGAGCACACCATCGCTGGTGAATAGGAACTGAGCCCCATGTTAATACCGTTAGCTTTAACTTAATTTAATCTTCTCTCTTTTAGGTTAACAATTCATGCTGAGTGCCCCATGCATTTGGAGGATTTTCCCATGGATGTGCATGCCTGCCCACTGAAGTTTGGAAGCTGTACGTATTTTCTCACATTTTGCTTGCCCAATCTTCTTCCAAAAGAAATATCGTGCTTCCTATTTCTTCCCCCCTAGAAACCCTGGGGGCGTAGTGGTTAAGAGCTATGGCTGCTAACCAAAAGGTCAGCAGTTTGAATCCACCAGGCACTCCTTGGAAACCCTATGGGGCAATTCTACTCTGTCCTATAGGGTCGCTATGAGTCAGAACCGACTCTAAGGCAATGGGATTTCCCCCTTAGGAGTTTCTAAAGCTGAGGCCCTTACCCAGGATGGTATGGGAGTAAGGCAGGGGAGTGAGCTTGAGTGGTACTAACTGATCAGGAGGAGGAGACTCGGCCTTTAATAGAGTTTTCTTTCCAGACAGCAATCTTATTTCACCATTTCAGACTAATTTCTCTGTCATTAGTCTCAAACATTAACATCTGTTTTCTAAATTGCTTAGAGGACAGTGCAGGACAGAGGTGATATACAGTAGCTGTTTACAAAGGACAAGATCCCTCAAAAAGAATGTGTTTTTGTTTTTTGAAATGTCCATTCTGTCTGCTTCCTCATATGCCTCTGTCCAATTCTCAACAGTGAATTGTAGACAGGAAGAGACTCTGGAGTGTTTCTCATTTTAGAGAGTATTGCCTCTGCCAGTAGCTGTACATCTTATAGAAAGAAGAGTAGAATTAGAAAAATAAAAATTGATTAGAATTTGAGTGAGTTTCTGAGTCTAAGAATAATGGAGGCAGTTTCATATAGGGGGTATACCAAGGTTTGTGTTAATTATGTCTACATTAGATTTAGCTCTGTATTTTGAAGTAGACAGTGTATCTGAATAGACCCAAATAATCACATGTAATGTATTTTTTTCAATCATTAATTTGTCAAATATTTCCAGATTGCCTCTTGTGTGCCAGGCTCTCTTCTAGGAACTTGGAATGCATCCATAGATAAAACAAAGACCCTGCCTTTGTGGAGCTTATATTATAATGAGAAGGGTGATAGCAAAAGAGAAATCAACTATGAATAAAAAAGTAAAGTATTAAGTGTATCGTAAGGTGAGAAGCACCATCAGAAAAAATGAAAGTACTGCAGGATAAGGGGGATCAGTCATGCCTAGAGGGGATAGGTGTTGCCATTGCAATTCAAAGTGGGGGTGATCAGGATAGGCTTCTTAGGAAGGGTAACATTTCAGCAGAAATTTTAAAAAGGTAAAGAAAATTGTAATGCAGATATCTGAGGAAATAGTACTCCCAGAAGAGGAAACAGCCAGGTAAAAGACCCTGGAAAGTGTTTTACACACACACACACACACACACACACATTTGGAGTTTAGTATTCTCTCCGCTACTTCATGCTATAAGTCTAGACTCTTGTCCTGATTTACCAGTAACTAGTGGCTATAACTTGTCCCTTCACTTTGGCTAATTAAAAGCCCTAATAAATGTAATTATTTCATGTAGTGATAAACCTGTACAGTGTCTGTTTCCATTTTGTTCTAAATGTATACCAACCTTAGGTTGTAGCTGCCAGGTTCATCAGAATCCTTGGATTGTCTTAGTTTCCTAGGGCTGCCTCAACAAAGTACCACAAAATGGGTGGCTTTAAAGAACAGAAACTTATCATCTCACAGTTCTGGAGGTTAGAAGTCCAGATCAGGATATCAGTTGTGGCTATTCCTTCTGAGGGCTGTGAGAGAGAAATTGTTCCATGCCTCTCTCCTAGTCCCTGGTGGCTCCTTAGTCACATGGCCATCCTTCTTCCATCTCTCTCTTTGACTCTTCTCCTCTTTTATAAAACACTACTCATGGGGTTAGATAGAATAAAGACCCACCCTACCAGCCACTCCTTGGACACCCTATGGGACAGTTCTACTCCATCCTATAGGGTCGCTGTGAGTTGGAATGACTCGACTGCAATGAGTTTGGTTTTTTGGGGGGGTTCTACTCCAGTAGGAGCCCTGGTGGTACAGTGGTTAAGAACTACGGCTGCTAACCAAAAGATTTGCAGTTCGAATCCACCAGCCTCTCCTTGGAAACCCTGTGGGATGGTTCTACCCTGTCCTATAGGGTCGCCATGAGTCGAAATCGACTCTATGGCAAAGTTTTTTTCTTTTCTTTTCTACTCCAGTATGACCTCATGTTAACTGACAATATCTTCAAAGACCCTATTTCCAAACAAGATCGTGTCCACATGACCAGGGGTTAGGACTTCAACATATGTTTCTGGAGGACACAATTCAATTCATAACGTATTTTTACTGATTATGTTCAAACCAAACTGATTATTTTGCCTCTGAAGCCTTCTTCTGTGTCTCCTATCTTGGCTTAGATCCTGCATTTTGATAGCTACTTACCTATTGAACCTCATCTCATATCTCTCTCCTCTTTACTTTGGCCTTCTGACAGTTCCTAGAACACCACAGGATGTTTCCCACTTAGAAGGTTTTGTACAACTGGCTATTTCTCATTTCTCATGTTTCAGTTTAAAAGCCAGCCTCTGAGAGAGGGCTTCTCTGATCACTGTCTAATGAAACCCTGCCTCACCCCCGTAACTCAGTTTTGTTTTCTTCATAGCACTTACACCATTATCTCATATTATCTTCTTTATTTATTTACTTGTTTATTGTCATTCTTTCCTACAACTGTAAGCTCAGTGGGAGAATGGGACCTCAAATGTGTTATGACCTTTGTACCTTCACTATCTAATACAGTGCCTTAATATTTGTTGAATGGGTGACTGACTGAATCAGTCAAGCAAGCAATAAATCAGTCTCTGACAAAATGAGTTCAAATGGAATGCTTTTCCATTGGTACTATTGTGGTAGGATTGCTTTTTACTCCCCATTTTCCTGGGGCCTGATACACACCATGGCTCGATTAAGACAAGGGGACATTTGGTAAAACTACTAAAGGTAAGGAAATGCTTGTACCATAATAACCCATAGGAAATATGTTGAGGGAGCCATTCTGGGAATGCAAAAGGTCTAATTGTCTGGTAGATATCCTTTCTGCAGTATCCAAAACACTCCCTTACTATACCCCGCTCCTCCATGTAAATGGAATGATTGGAACTGAGAAGGGGGGAGGGAGGGAAGCGGAGGAGCTAAAGGAACCAAGGGCCATAGAAGGAGAGAAGAAAAAGTTGTAAAGTTCTGTTCCCCACGGGGTGAATGAATTCCATCATGATTCATGTGCTTGCAAAAGCTACAGTCTCAGGGTCATCTAGAGCCCTTTCTTCTTTCCTCTCTTAACCATCATGAAAAGCTATGAGTTATAGTTTGCTCTACTTCTGAAATCTTCTCTCTGCCCCACTCAATTCAGCCAACTGTCTACTAACGTATATTGTTCCCTGTGTGTCACTCACACCAAACACCGTGGTGGACTTTTAACTACTATCTTGGCTTCAGTTTTGCTTTCCAATCTGTCATCCATGCTGCAGCTGGAGTTACCCTTCTAAAGCATACATCTAGCCATATCATCTCTCTACTTCAAGTACGCACACAACTCCTTATAGCCTGCGGACTAAAGCCCTTATTTCTTAGTGTGAGCCATTAAGATATTTTATAATATTGCTTCAGCTTATCTCTTGCCTGACAGTTCAGTGATACCATTAATTCCCTTAGCACTCATGGTCTTGCCTTGGCTATGTTGTTCCTTTGCTAGGAATGTTCTTTCACCTACTGAAGGCAGCCTCATCTTCTAGTATCATATGCCTTATGAAGCCTTCTCCAACATCCCAGTCTGAGCAGGAGTAATAACGCTCACCTATGTTTTTGCCAAACACTTGTTTTTGTTCCACTTGTGTGCATATTTCTCACATTCAGACTTGTACTATAATGATTATGTTCTCTCTCTCTCCCCTAGTAGACTATGGGCTAGGCTCCCTGAAGGTGATCACTGCACCTGATTAACCTTTGTCTACCAGAACAGAGTGTGGCTCTAAGCAGACCCCCAATCAAGTAGTTTTCAATTTGTTTTTTAAGTTCCTTCTTCCTCTTCCTTCTCTTCCTTCATTAGTTCATGCCTCTCTTGCTTTGCTCTCCATCTTATGAGAAGAGAGGTTTTTTTTTTCCTCCACAAATCCCTTTGCTCCCATATATTATTGTCAAAGAAATAAAACCACTGCTTTTTGCATAGAGCAAGGTGCCACTCTTGGCCTGATGAAGCTTCTGAGGTACTTAATGGTAGCTGCACAATTTATTGTCACATCTGCACTTGGAAAAAAAGTTAGAATTCCCAGGGCTAATATTCAGTGTTGTCTGCTCCACCTATTCTACTTACGTTAAGAGAGCAAGCAAGAATTTCTCTTCTCTTTTAGGGGTAGAAAACATCTTCCATCACCCACTGTGTCCCTGAGCAGACTTCTGTTCTAGTTTTTACGTTGTCAAATACTTGGGCAGATTGGCTGGAACATTGCATTGTCCTTTAAACATAGGGAGTTACAACTGCCTGAAGAGCAAAGTTAAGAAGACCTATATAGGTGGTTCTCTGCTTAGGTGTAGAGGAATTCCAAGCATATGTACTAAAGATGGAAGGCACTGGGGGAAATGAGAGGACAAGGACCTTGTGAAATCAGGTATCTGTCCTCTCTTCCTTCTCTTATTCAAATATTTATTGGCTTGGCCCCAGGATTTCTGATTTCCAGAATAATGTTTCCAGTATTCCATGCAGTTTATAGTTAACAATTTTTAAAAATATCCTGAACTGCTGACATAAAGGTCATTTCACTAATAGTCATATGACAGTCCTCACATAATGGTCTTCAAATAAATTTAGGTAAGATGTGAGAAGAGTCCTGAGAAGATTCCCCTTTCTTCTTAGTGATAGTAGGTTAAGGAGCTACAATTCCACTTGGGAGCCCTAGAGTCCCCACAGGTAGCAGAGGATGCTTTGTTTCGAAGGTTGAATCACAAGGGACCATAGCCATCTCTGGGGAGAAGTCTCTAGGCCATAGGTTGCGAATTGCTGGTGTGTAGATGGGATTTGTTCCACCTATATAGTATTTATGACTTTTTAAAATTATTTACCAAGACTTGACATTTGGAAGATTTCAAATAAAATGTGGATTTTTAATTATTTCATGAAATCAAAAGATTTGACAACATTCGGCACAAATTCCCACAATCAACTGGAGCTAAGTAGTGGCTGTCCCTTGAAGATGGGCATATGCATGCCCATTTCCCACAGTCCCTATCATTTTCTACTCTCTCCCAGAAAACAAGGTCTAATGTCAGTTGCCATTAATCACTTACTTGCACTCTTGTTTTACTTATAGTATAATCAAGGGCTCCCAGTAGAGTCAAATGGAAAGTGAAATTGTTCTTGTACCTATATCTATCAAAATTGAAAAAAAAAAAAGACTGAGGTGACTGTGTTTTTCATAAAAGATAGGAGACTTTGCATTTCCTTATAGAATATTTCTACATCTTTCCTATGTATACAAAGTATGCCTTTGTTGAAAAAATAAAACTTTAGATATCAAAATTATGCAATCCTTTGTAAAAAAAAAACAATCTATGATCACTATATAGAGAATTACCTTGGAAAAAACAGACTGAAATTTCAACAGATTTTGTGTTTGAAAGGAGACACAATAAGTGTTGCTGCTGGGAAATGCAGTTATGCATTCAGTTAAAAAAAAAAAGGCTTCCCAGACATCAAAACATTTTATAGGTGCCAAATTTATTTTTAAAGTATCTATTAATTGCAGCAGAAGTTATGTGTCTAACTAGAAGTACTGTTTTCAGTGTGTTCAAGAAATGACTGAGACTATATACAGGGCAAGTTATTTGGAAAAGTTAAATTTCCCGTGGCATTCTTTTTTTGCAGTTTATGAGAGCACAGATAAAAATAATATCATCCAAACCCACTGCTGTTGAGTCAGTTCCAACTCATAGCGTCCCTATAGGGCAGGCTGTAAATTCACAAGGCTGTAAATCTTTATGGAAGCTGCCCGCCACATCTTTCTCCCCCAGAGCCACTGGTGGGTTTGAACCACCGACTTTTTGGTTAGCAGCTGAGTGCTTTAACCACCGTGCCACCAGGGCTCCACAAATATCATAGTTATCTATATTTTTTTCATCATGTCAGTGGGAATTTTCATGTGAATGAAGATTGTTTGGGCAAGTTGTCCATTATAAGCAAATCAGGAAATGACTTATGTATATTGAAAAGTCCTAAAAAGTTTAATGTAGCAGATCACAATTACTACATGTAAGTATGTTTTAATGTCAGACTTTTTATGAAACTTATGTCCAACATTGCCAAGTTTTGCAGGGACACAGAATTTACATTTGATCATTGATAGATTCACCAGGAATTATTTGCTTTGTGATCAAAGGTTTAAGTAGAAGAATATAGTAGTTACCACCATGAGCTGGAGACCCCACTGGCTTGACAACAGACAGCACAACACTTGGATGAAGTGGGTGAACAGTATGGTGGTCAGCTGCCCTTTCTGAGCCTAGGTGCCTGAGTGAAGGCAAGGTGCTCAGTCTAGATAGGAAATCCACTGTGTAAAGGTCAACCCATGTCTGGAACTGTGTAGGTATGCAGCTCTCTTCCGTTAAGTTACTGACTAAAACACAATAGCCCCTACTCTTCATTTCCTCATTCCCCCACCATATCCCTTACCCACACTCCTGTTCAAAGTTAATCTCTACTAAATGCTGTACTCTACATTGAAACTCCGACTGCAAGGCTTGACATTAAGACCCTGATGCAGAAGAAAAGGTGTCAAGTTTCTGGTTTGCAAATGGAAGTCGTAATACATTATGAAAGAAAATTGTACTCGTTAGTTATGGCTATTTTTAATTTGGACTTTTTCATTTTTTAATTTCAAGTATCACTAGTAAGAATTTTTGCATTATCTCATATGCTCATCCCATAATTAATTAAAGAAACTTTCATTACATATTTGGCAGTTATTTTTCTTACAAGTAGCCTGACTCCCTCATTGAAGGTACCTCTCTGGCTGCTGTAGGTATCTGAGTCTGTGGTGTCTGCATTAGATAATACGTTAGCCGTTCCTCCCCCTGCCCCTCCTCTCTACCCTCCCAGGGAAGGACATTTTTAACAATTGTATTAGCAGTGCGGCAGACTGTGAGCCACTGAGGGAAGCGACCATCTCGGGTTCATTTCTGTGTACCCAGCAAGTACTGTAGTGGTTGTTCAGTGAACGTTTACTAGACAGATGGATAAATGTACTTTAGTTGAAGACAGAGCACTTTTCCAGAACTCTTTGGGGTTGGAAATTGTATTTCAATCTCAAGTGAGTTTAGTAGCAAGGGTAATTGTTGTCCTTTCCTTCAACTTCTCCTCCTTGACCCTTCTCTGCTTTAGACGCCTATACAACAGCTGAAGTGGTTTATTCTTGGACTCTTGGGAAGAACAAATCTGTGGAAGTGGCACAGGACGGCTCTCGCCTGAACCAGTATGACTTGCTGGGCCATGTTGTTGGGACAGAAATAATCCGGTCTAGTACAGGTATTTATTTATTTTACTTAACAAACATTTTGGTAACTTGTGCCATGTGCCAGCCACTGTTCTAAGTGCTTTACACGTGATAACTTATTTAATCCTCAGAAAAATCTTGTGATGTAGCTAGTATTGTCATGAGGAAACGGAGGCATAGAGAAGTTCAGTAATTTGCCTCAAATCATAGTTATACAATGGCAGAGCCAAGACTGGAAAACCAGGCAGATTGGATCCCAAGCCCATGCTCTTACATGATGCCCTGCCCCTCTAGTGGGGCAGAAGGTCAAGGGCATTAGGGTTGGGGTGTGGTAAAAGAGAAGGAAGAGGGAGGCCGTAATGGTGGGAGAGCTGAGCTTTGATCCTAAAGGTTTCATTAAGACATTTGCTTAACTCAGCCAATGCTGAGGTGGCAATTTAATAACCGCAGGAGAGGTCAGACACACAGCCAGATCTGGGGATTAGCCTTGGAATTATTTTCTTAAGTGGATCACCCACCTGAGAAACAAGCTTGTCTGGCAAAACCTGCAGGGTTCTCTTAATGGCTAATCCTTGGGTATTGACAACTGGAACCTAGAGACTTGTTCTGTAGCCTTAAGTTCTGTCCATTTGGAAACCGACCAGTTGCATGGGCCTGAGGAAGGAGGGACCCTGAATCCCAACTAACCTTAGGGTATTTGGCAAAATGGAGTCTATCCTGGTGCCTACATATCTTACACTAAGTTTTGCTGTGAAAGGCTGGGAGCTCTCCACATTAATCTAGCAACATTTGTCTCAGTGAAAAAAATCTCTACATCCACAATTACAAATGCTGAAGGGTGCTCTTGCCCTTTTGTTTTATTATCTGGACACATGCTGTTCCCTCTCTTTGTGATGTCACCTTGTCTGCCCCCCTCCTCTGTTCTCTCTCCACCCCAAGACCAGGGGAGGGTATCTGAAAACAGTGGTATTTGAAAGGGATTTGAAGGATAAGCAGGATTTAGAGATTTGGAATGAGGTGTGTGGACAAGCTGTTCTTCACAAAGGAAATACTGAGATGTCACAAGCTAAAGGCATGAGAGGGCATGGTGTGTAGGGGGAAGGCAAGCAATGGGTTAGAGCTCCGGTGGGACAGAGAGCCCAGGGCTGCAGGGTGGCTGGGGCCACTCTCTTGAGGTGGCATTCTGGGGCCATGTGTGTGGAGACCAGGCGGAGTCCCTGGGGAAGGCACTGGGGAATGGGGGGAGTCTGAAGAGTCCCCTCCCTTTAGGAGATGATTGTTGGCTGCTGATGGCAATTGCCTCGGCTCTAGAGGAGACAGCCAGTGGTGGGTGCGCCTGGGCTACTGGACCCTGTCACTTGGCCTTGAGCGTTCAATTCTGTTGTGTGTGGGGTTAGTCGGAGTCAGCCTGATAGTGCTCAGATCCTGGTGGCCCTACATTCCAGGAGGCGACAGTCCCAGTACACAGATATTCTTGTATCATCTCTGTGAACAGCCATGCTCAGAGCAGCCTCCTCCCCTGTCCCCTGGGGATAGCACTGGGGCAGGCTGGGCACCAGTGGGCGGAGAAGGGGTCCCTGGAGGACAGGCTCGTGGCAGGCCCAGACGGCTGAACCCAAAGCCGCCTGAATCCACGTGGGCCAATTACAGCCTTAAGAGAGCCTAGCTCTGATGCCATGAATATGAATGGGCCGTCCCCATCTGTCGCCGGCCTTCCCCGGGTACCCAGGTAGCATGGCCTATGTGTTCTTTCTCTGTCTCTCTCTCCAAGAGCAAAGCACACATCCCACAGCTGTGTTGAGAGTGCACATCCACATCTTTACAATAATCTGTTCAGACCGTGCAGCCTGCTATGTCTGTGGCCCTTAGAACCGAGCAGTTTAGCAAGATGTGAGCACTGTGACAGCACGGGGTCTCTCCCGTACCCTTGACTACACTCTTCCCTACACCGGTCCCACTGACTTGACGTGAGTGGGGAGCCGAGGGCAGGACAGTCTTCCCAACCTGGTCATCGGTCCACTCTCTCCAAGCAGACAGAAGCCATCAACGAGCCTCGTCACTTTCAAGTCCTCCCAGTTACTTACTTCTAGGCTCCTCTGTCTGTTTGTCCCTCCTGTGCTCCTTGTTATTTTTTAAGCAGAGAAATCAGTGTCCTGCTCCCAGCATTCCTGTGCAGTGTCCCAGGCTGCCCTGCAACACACCTGCCGGCCCCCTCCCTCTGACACAGCACACACGGCCTTCTCAGTCCGCATGGCTGGGCGTCTAGCTGCCCAGAGTCTCCCCTTGGCCACCTGGATTCTCACCCCGGCCACAGCCTCTGCTCCCACTTCCCATTCATTCATTCTCCAAGCAGCCCCAGCTCCTGTTTCGTTTGGTTGAATCGATGCTTAGTCTTTATCACACAGGCAATATACAGTTTATGCTGGAACAATTAGACCACACGGAGAAGCAAAGATGGAAATTAAAATACTCTGTCACTCCATCATCTAGAAAAATCTTCTTAGATGATTTGGGTACATTAACTGATGATTGAACATTTTGATGTATAACTTTTGTTGAATTTTTGTGTAAATATGTTTTCATGTCACTAAAGGCATAGGATGCAAATAAAATGTACACATAATAATCTAACAAATGAAAACAATATTTTAACAATTAGAATGGACACACATGCATTATTACTTGTGTTAGTTACTTTAAAAAAAAAAAACATACATTTAAAATGCCCTCCTCCAAGGCCGGAGCGTTCTCAGCGATGATATGATATGTGTTGTTACTACGGGGAAATGTAGCATTTCATTGGGAAACTCGGTAAAATAATATCTTCATTTTTAATGGCCTCATGTGTATGGATCATCTATTTAACCAATTATCTACTATTAGTTTCTGCCTTTTAATGCTGTAAGCAACATGCAAAGACCCTCTATTTCCATTTATCATTTTGTTCCAGTGTAATTATCTGCCTAGGATAGAGGTAGAATATTGAGAGTGCTGTTTCGGAGAGTAGGGGCCTTTTGAAGCTTGTTAATGCATGTTGACAAATCGCTGTTCTGAAAGGTTAAACGATTCACACTCTCATTATCAGTGCATGAGCAAGCCAGCTCCCCTCACCCTTGGCGGCAGCACAGGATATGGTTTTTCTTGCTTTGTTATTGTTGATCAAAGTAATGCATGGGCAGGGGGTGGGGTGGAAGTAATAAAGATCCAGTTTTGAGCATGTAATATGTGCCAAGCACTGCCCTGCGGACATGTATTAACTCACTTAACATGTTTCCAGATAAGGAAACTGAGGCTTAGACAGATTACATAATTTTCCCAGGGTCACACAGCGGGTAAGCTCTTGAAACCAGACAGCAACCTGGCTCCTGAGTCTACACTCATAATCACAACACGGATCTCTCCCTCTGCTTTTGATTTAGGAAAAAAGAGACAGACAGACAGAGAGAGGAGGGGGAGAGAGAAAAATCAAATAACACAGAAAGGTTTACTCTCAAAGGTAACATTTCCCGTTTTAACCAGTTATGTTTTACTTCTGTTGACTCCCTGCATAGCTCTAAACAATGCTAAACACCTTCAGAGATGAAGGAAATATGGATCCCCTACTCTGAAGTATGAGTGTTTTACTCATTATCGCCTACCTCCTCTCTCTTCCACCAGATCAGGACAGTGTCACGGCGTCTAAACAGTGTAGGGAGATATAAATATATATAATATTTCTAGAAAGATACAGCATAAGAGATCATTCAGTGTAATTACCTAAGGGGAGGAGAAATAAAACGGGTGGTTTGGGGACAGATGTGGGAGGGAGCCTTTTTGATGTACAACCTTGTATATCTTTGATTTAGGCACCATATGGATGTTCTTATTGTCCTTGAATATATGTGTATGTTTATGTTTTCATTGTGACTATGAATTATTGACTTTCACTTCTGAATCCTGAATATGCTCCTCCATGTATAGGCTTCAGTGTATTAATGGAAGCTGGGCTCAAGAATGGACCATGGCTGTTCTGTTGGTGTGACTGGCTTTCTCTCTGAATGCTCTCAGTCTTCAGCATGAAGTAGCTCCAAGCAGAAGGCTCCTGCTTTTTGCTCCGGACTTAAACAAGTGTTAAATAAATGAATCAAATTCCTCAAAATAGGTGGCTAGTTGTTAACACTATTCCTTATTTTCCGTTTTCCTCCCATTTGGCAAATTATTTCATTAATTTTCCAGGATGTGAGTTCGCATGCATGATCTTATTTTCCACTCTTTCCTGGAAATGTGGTAACTTGATAGAATAACATCTATAACATATTAATATTGGCATTGTATATATTATCTCTTTGGATATGTGACAAAGGTAGCTAAAGACAAAACAGAAAATAAGAGACAGAGTGAAAGAGACACAAAGAGAAGAGAAGACAGCGAGCTGGAGAGAAAAAGAATCCAGGAGGCAAGATAAAGTACTAGGAGCGCAGAGATAGAGAGATGGCAAAAACACCAAACATGGATTTAGTATATCCACTTGCTTAGTATAATGGGTTGATTTGCCAAGCTATTCAAAATATCCTCTTGTGTGTTTCACAACCTTAGAAACTAGCTAAGTTGCAAATGCGTGTTACATCATATTCTCAAATATTTCACACTTAACACAGATGGAGCTTAATAAGCTGAAGCCAAGGCAGGGGACGTTTCTCCAAACCACCTAAAGGGTCATCCTTCATCATAAGAGACACAGAGAGAAGCAGCAATAGAGGCATAAGGGAGGGAACACAACGATCCACTTTAGGAAAATATATTCGGTTATGTAAAATATTAATTTGCTAAGCTGTTCTACATGTCTGATGCATAGATAATAACTAATTTATAAATAAATATTCATGATATGTTTTATCTTGTACCCTTGAATATTTCACACACAACACAGATGGTACTTAATCAGCTTCATAAGCTGCGGCAGTGGGGTGGAAATAGGAGGGGAAGTTAGGAAGATCTTCCAATCTGGTCAAAGCGTCAGTTGTCACTTTGGCAGAGAAGAGGGTGTAGAGATACAAAATATCAGGGTTGTATTTAAGAAAACATATTCAGTTCGTTGACAAAATGAATTAATTTGCTAAGCTTTCTAAAAGCCCACTTGTAATTTTATATCCATAGAAACTATCTAGATTGCAAATATCTATGAATATGCAAAATTGGCTTTCCATTGTCCCTTTGACTATTTCCCATTGGACCCAGATAGTCTGGCAGAATAGGGAAAATCTTCCCAATGTGGTAAGAGGTTTCAGTTCTCATTAAGAAGAATTCCCTTTGCCTCTTTGGGAGAGAGACAGCAGAACAGAAAGAGAAGGAAAGGACAGAAAAGGAGAGAGTTGAAGAAAATATATTCATTTATTTTAAACAAATGGTTAATTTGCTAAGCTTTTTGAAAAATCCACTTGCTTTTCATCTCAGCTCCACTGAATATAGCTAGTTTATGAATACATATTTATCATGTTTTCTATATTGAATATTTCAGATGATCACAGATAGAATCAATAGGCTGGGGTTCAGGAGTGTGAGATAAGATGAGAAAGGGAGTAAATCGCCCAAGCCAATCAAAGCCCAACTCATTAAAAAGAGATCTTCAATTCCTTTTCAGTGGAAAGAGAGTGAAGGCAAGGAAAAGAAGAGAGGAATAGACCTGGACACACACAGAAAAGAGATAGAGAAGGAACACAGACAGAAAGAAAAAGATTGAAAAAGAAGCAGAGATAAAGAAGAGATAGAAACTCCAAACCTGTAATGAGGAAAACATGCCGTAGTTTTGTATAAGATCCTTTGCTAAATTAAAAATAAGTCTACGTGTATTTTTTGTGCTCACATAAACAAGCTAAGATGTGAATACACACACAATATGGATTGTATATTAAGCATTAGATGACCAGATGGTGCTTCCTAGACTTAGATACAAGGGAGTGGGAAGGATAGGAAAGTGGGAAATTGCCTCATTCGGGAGACCTGCCAAAACCAAATGTGGGTGGAGGGGGAAAGGTGAAGAATAAGAAGCTCTGACAAGAAAGGATGACATGGGTCTTTGTGGACTATTCTGGTGATTTTGGCTTTTACTCTTTGAGAGATGGGAAACCATTGGAGGGTCTTGAGCAGAAGAGAGACAGGATCTGACTTATGTCTTAATAGATCTCTCTGGCTGCTGTGCCAAGAATGCATTGAAGGGTGCAAAGACAGAAGCAAGATCCGTTAGAAAGCTCTAACAGTACTCTAGGTGAGAAGTGATGGTGGCTGAGACCAACGTGGTAGTGGTGGAGGTAGTGAGAAGTGGTCCAATTGTGGACATATTTTGAAGAAAGAACTGGCAAAGTTTGCTCACTGATTGTGTGTGTGTGAGAGAGATAGAGAGAGAGAGAAGTCAACAACAATGCAGAGGGTTTTGAAGAACTGGGCCTGGGCTCTTGAGTGGTACTATTTACTGAGATGAGGAAGTCTGTTGAAGGAACCAGTTTGGAGGGGAATGGGGAGATGAGGAGAACAAAAGGTCAGATTTGAATACATTACGTCAAGATGCCTATTAGATCTCCAAGTGATGATGACTAGTAGGTAATGAATATACAAATCGATAGTTGAGTGAGGAGCCCAGGCAGAAGATACACATTTGGGAGTCATCAGAGTTTAAGATATTATTGAAAGACACAGGCTGGGTGAGAATACCAAGGAAGTGAGTAAGACAGAAAAGATAAAAGATACAAGGACTGAACCCGAAGGCCTTCCAATGCAAATGAAATGAAGTGAAATGAAACCAGCAAAGGAGACTGGGAAGGAGTGGTCAGTGAGGTAGGAGGGAAACCATCAGATTATAGTGCCCAAGAAGTTCAGTGAAGAGAGTGATTCCAGAAGGAGGGAGTGTGCTGCTGTGTAAAATGCTATTGACACATTCAGTAAGGCTGAGAATTGACCATTGGTTGTAGCAACGTTGAATAATGTTTGGTACCAACCTCACAGGACGGTTGTGAGGAAGTAAAGTTAATATTCCAAAAAGACTTATAAAAATGAACTCAGTAAGTGTTTACTCTTATTTTGGGAGAGGGGTGATGTAGGTCAGTCCACATTCTGCTATGTGAACTTCTGGTCCTAACCATGTAAGTCTATTGACACAGCAGAGCAATAGTGGTTAAAAAGCACAAACTATGTAGCCAGCCTATCTGGGCTTGATTTCAGACTCCATTACTTACTAGCTGGGTGAGCTGGTGCAGGTTACTCAATCTCTCTTTGCTTCAGTTTCATGACCTACAAAATGAAGATAATAATAGTACTGACCTCATAGAGTTGTTGTGAAGATTAAATATTTTAAGAATATAAAGTACTAGATGAGTGCCTATCACATAGCAAGTACTATAGAAGAGATTGTTATTTATTATAATTATTTAAACGAGAACATCAATTTATTTGAATGAACTTGTGTCACAGTTGCTCTGAACAAGTTGTGCGGGTACACTGTAAGTATATATTTTGACAAAAACCATACTGCTTCATGATTAGTAAAGGGATGTGGTTACGTGGACTTGGGAGGGGCTGGGATGTCTTGTTTTGAATATAAGGTTGAGGAACTTTGTAAACTGAATTAGAGCCCAACTTGATCTAACAATAGTTTATTTGGCTACATCCTACATAATTGTACTCTCTCTCTCCAGGAGAATATGTCGTCATGACAACCCACTTCCATCTCAAGCGAAAAATTGGCTACTTTGTTATCCAGACCTACCTGCCATGTATCATGACTGTCATTCTGTCACAGGTGTCTTTCTGGCTCAACAGAGAGTCTGTCCCTGCTCGCACGGTCTTTGGTGAGTGTTGGGTTATGGAGAATGGGGGAAGGACCTTTGCAAAGCCTTACCAGGGGCAGCCAGAATAGAGGTAAGAAAGGTGGAAGAACCATCCCTGGAGATAATGGGAGCAACACCTGCCAGAGGCATAACTAAGGTATGGCAGGTGGGGTGCGTGCCCTGGGTCCTGCTTGAGGAGGAGCGCTACCGAGCAGTTTCTATTGGCCATCGCAGTTTCCATCGCCAGCTGTGAGAGCTCATTCAGCCATTTAAAACTAAATGCCATAGGCGCTATTTTCCATAGATAGGTCCCTGCCTGAGCCCAGCAGTCATAAATGAGTCATCAGATCCTGGGGCTTCGGATGACTGAATTCTTAATGAGGAAGTGGGAATAAGAAGAGTGTTGGAGTAGAAACCTTGCCGAAATATTCCCTATCTCAGTCAGGTTTGCCGCAGGAGCTGGAGAGTGAAAAGGCGAGATTAGTGGGCAAAGCTGAAGAAGGTGAAGGGTGGGGAACTAAACTGACAACTGAGAAGTGGATCTGGGGCTGTTATATATGACTGATTTTTGGTATGAGCTTCTGAATTTGCTGCTCTTTCTACAGCCTTTTTGGGAGTAGGAGTGATCTGATATTCAGTAAAGGCTGTACAAAGTTTGAAGAGTTTTTCAATAGTCCCCACATCAGAAGGTTTTTCTTCAATATGAGTTTACTGATGTCTAGGAAGAGACTTGCATATCATTAGCACTTTTCCCTCAGAGACTTAAAGCATATAAAACATTTTCTGCCCGTTCCTCTCACTGTAAAATTTTTTAGGAGATAAGTATTAATGAACTCTTTCAAGCTACTAAAATGCCCCCCATGGCAATGATGGCTGTGAGGCATATACTTAGATATACTGGGTACCCACACAGAAGGCATGCCTACCAATACCCTGAAGCTGCACTGTGTAGTTATATAGTCAATGCTGTTTCAAAAAGAAGCAGCATTTCAGGTCAGTCAGAGGAGGGGCCAGCGATTGAGAAAGGCAAAGAGTGATCTGTAAAGTAGAAAGAAAACCAGAAGTGTGTGATATCATGGAAGTCAAGAGAGGAAGGTGTTTCAAGATCAGAGTTGAATTCTACTGTGAGTTTAGGTAAGATGCAGACAGAAACTGGCTATTGGGTATGGTGATAGACTTGGTTGTTAGCAATCTTGAAAAGTTCTAGTGAAGTGGAAGGAGCAGAAGCTATATTCGAGTGGGTTAAAGATGTTTACTTTTGGAAATATGGCAAACTAGATATTCTGAAAAATCTTTCTCTACAAAATCCTAAAAAAGCTAGGTAAAACAGAAAGCATTCTTTTAAGTTAACATCTGAGCTCATAAGGAATTAAAGGAAATATTCCAGGACCCACATGGAATTGAAAAATGGAGTGTTAATCACAGGAACTGATACTGTGGTAGCAGGAAGGTGGGTTGATGGTAATTGGTCTTGGTAACCCAAGACTATGGATTTTAAGGTTACACAAGGAAAGGATTAGCTTAAGTTATGTCAAGAGTTAGAACTAGGACTTGGTAGGCTGAGTAATAGCTCCCCAAATTATTCATGTCCTAATCTCCAGAACCTGTGAATGTTACCTTATATAGCAAAAGAGACTTTGCAGATGTGATTAAATGTCTTAAGATGGGGAGATTATCCTAGATTATCCAGGTGGACCCTAAATGCAATCACAAGTGTCCTTATAAGAGGAAGACAGGAAAATTTGACTATAGAGGAACAGGTGGTGTGATGGAAGCAGGAGAGATTTGAAGATGTTACGCTGCTGGCTTTGAAGATGGAGGAAGGGGCCATAAGCCAAGGAATGCAAGGCATGCAGCTCTAGAAACTGGAAAAGGCAAGGGAAAATTCCCTCAATAACTTCCAGAAGGAGTGCGGCCCAGCTGACACCTTCACTTTAGCACAGTGAAACTCATTTCAGACTTCTGGAATGAGTTTCTTATAGTTCCAGAACTATAAGAGAATGAATTTGTTATGTTTTAAGCCACTAAATTGGTAGTAATTTGTTACATCAGCTATTGGACACTAATACAATGACCCTTCCTATAAATTCAGTACCATTGAAGAGTTATACCACCAATGCAAGAGAGCACTAGAAAAATACACTCATCAGTGCAGGGAGACAATAAAGAAGCATGTCTATTTTGGACTGGGCTCTGTGTAAAAAATATAATTCTTTAAGTGCTTTTTTTTTTAATTCAAACATGGGCTCAGGTGAGCTTAGAGTTCATATTTACGCTAACTGCATGGTATGAGAACCTCCAAGCTGAAATGTTAATGCAAGTGATTGCATAATTTTTATGTAAGAACAAAGGGCCAAGAATAGCCAGGATACTCCTAAAGAAGAAGAACGAAGTGGAGGGACTTGTCCCACAGATGTCAAGAATTAAAAATCTATAGTAATTAAGACAATGTGGTATTGGCAAAATAATAGAAAAATAAATGAATGAAATACTATAGAGAGCTTAAAAGTAGGCCCACATATATGAAAATTTGATTTATGACAGAGCTGGAATTGCAGAAAATTAATTTCAGATTGTTCATGGACCTAAATATAAAAGCTAAAAATATAAAGCTCTGGGAAGAAACTATAACGCAATATGTTTGCAACGTTTGGTAGGCAGAAATTTCTTAGTGCACACAAACAAAAAGCATTAACAGTAAAGAAAAAGATCTAATAAATTGGACTTCATCAAAATTAAAAACTTCTGCTCATCAAAGGATAACATCAAGAAAATTAAAAGGCAAGCCATAGACTGGGAGAAAATATTTTATATATGTATATTTCTGACAAAGGAGCTGTGTTGAAAAACATGAAGAGCTCCTACAGTTCAGTAGTAAAAAGACAAAGAACCCAACTAAAAAAAAAAAAACAAATGGGCAAAACATTTGAGCAGACATTCCATCAAAGAATACATACAAATTCCCATAACCCGTTGCCATCAAGTCAATCCTGACTCATAGCAACCCTATAGGACAGAGTAGAACTGCCTGATAGGGTTTCCAAGGAGTAGCTGGTGGATTTGAACTGCCGACCTTTTCGTTAGCAGCCAAACACTTAACCACTGCACCACCAGGACCCATAAGCACATGAAATGATCTTTAACATCATATTTTATCAGGGAAATGCAAATTAAAACCTCACAAAGACACCACTTTACAAACGTTAGAGTGGCTAAAGTTAAAAAGACTGATAATACCAAATATTGGTGAGGTGAGGCGCAGTGGTGGGGATGTAAAATGGTACAATCACTTTGGAAAAACAGTATGGCAGTTTCTTATAAAGTTAAAAATACATTCACACTATAGATATTCAATTCCTAGGTATATACCCAGGCAAAATGAAAACATATGTCCAAAAATACTTATATGAAAATGTTCATAGCAGCTTTACACATAAAAGCCAAAAACTGGAAAACATCCAAATATACATCAGTAAGTGAATGAATGAATATATTGTGGTCTATTTGTGCAATGGAATACCAACTAGCAATAAAAATGAATGAACTATTGATTCATATAATAATGTGGATGGATCTCAACAACTATGTCAAGCAACATAAATAAAACAAAAATCCTCACAACTGGACCAATAAGCAACATCATGATAAACAGAGAAAAGATTGAAGTTGTCAAGGATTTCATTTTACTTGGATCCACAATCAACGCCCATGGAAGCAGCAGTCAAGAAATCAAACGATGTATTGCATTGGGCAGATCTGCTGCAAAAGACCTCTTTAAAGTGTTTAACAGCAAAGATGTCACCTTGAGGACTGTGGTGTGCCTGACCTAAGTCATGGTGTTTTCAGTTGCCTCATATGCATGCAAAAGCAGAATAATGAATAAGGATGAACAAAGAAGAATTGACACCTTTGAATTTTGGTGTTGGCAAAGAATAGTGAATATACCATGGACTGCCAGTAGAATAAACAAACCCACCTTGGAAGAAGTACAGCCAGAATGCTCCTTAGAAGCAAGGATGGCGAGACTACATCTCACATACTTTGGACATATTATCAGGAGGGATCAGTCCCTGGAGAAGGACATCATTCTTGGTAAAGTACAGAGTCAGTGAAAAAGAGGAAGACCCTTGATGAGATGGATTGACACAGTGCCTGCAACAGTGGGATCAAACATAGCAATGATTGTGAGGATGGTGCAGGACCGGGCAGTATTTCGTTCTGTTGTACACAGGGTCTCTATGAATTGGAACAGATTCGATGACACCTAACAACAGCAACAACATGTCAAGCAAAAGAACCCAGACACAAAATAGCACATAATATATTATTTTATTTATGTCAGATTCTAAAACAGGCAAAACTAAGCTATGGTGTTAGATATCAAAGCAGTGGTTTCCTCTGGGGTGGTATACTGACTGAAAATGGGCATGAGGGAACTTACTGGTGTGATGCAAATGTTCTGTATCTTGATTGGGGTAGTGGTTATATAATTGTATACGTTTGTCCAAACTCTGAAATGTACAATTAAAATATTTTTATTTTATTGTATATAAATTATACCTCAATTTAAAAACACAGACCTGCTTGGACTCCAGATATTTGAATTATCAGATACAGACTTACAAATAGCTATGAAGAATGTGTTTAAATTAGATAAAAGAAACATGATAATTCCAGCATATAAAGGCGAAAAAAATACAGAGAGAGAGAGAGGATGGAGAGAAGTGGGGGAGGAGATAGAACATAATTGAAAATTCTAGAACTGGAAAATACAGATTAAAAACTCAGTGTTTTAGACACAGCTGAAGGGAGAATTTGTGAACTAGAAGATAGATCAGAAGAAAATATTTACAATGAGGAACAGAAAGAAAAAAAAGTGAAATACATAAGAGAGAGGTTTAAAAGACATAAGATTAACTGAGTAGGTCTAACATACATGTAATTGGAATCCAAGAGAGAAGTGAGATAATGAGAGGGGACCAATTTTTGAAGAGATAATGGCTGAGCATTGTCTAAACCTGATGGAGAAAATAAAGCTACAGTTACAAGAAGTCCTACAAATCTAAGTAGGATGAAATACAAGACATACAGAAACACAGTATATTAAAACTGCTGAAAATGAAAATCAAAGAGAAAAATCTTCAAAGTAGCCTGAAAAAATACATTGCCTTTAAAGTCATAACAAACAGACTAATAGCTAACTTCAACAGAGATAATGAAGACATTTTCAGACAAAATAATTTTTGAAAAAAACAAAAAGACCTTTGTCATCAGACCCTCACTAAAGGAAATACTAAACGGTGTTCTTCAAGCAAAAGGAAAATTATCCCAGAAGTAAAGTTGAAGATGTCTAAAAAAGGAAGAAAAAAATGACAACTATATGGATAACCCTAAATGAGTCTTATATGTCTAAAATAATAACAATGGCTTATTGGGTATAAAATGTACTTAGAATAAAATAGTAGCCCGTGATGTAATTTATATAAGTTAAGATGAGGATAAATTGAAATAAAGTGATCTAAGGACTTTAATTGTCAGGGAAAACTGTAAAAGTACCAATTCATATTAGATTTTCATGTCAAGAATGCATGCGGACTGAAACTCTTGTACATTTCTGCTGGGGATATTAAATGATATAGCCACCCTGGAAAACAATTTGGCAGTTTCATAAAAGTTAAGCATGTACTTACCATATAATCTTGTAATTCCATCCCTAGATATTTATCAAGAGAAATGAAAGCATATGCTCACACAAAGCCTTGTATGTAAATCTTCACAGCAGCTTTATTTATAATACTAAACATTGGAAACAATCCAACTGTTCATTATCAGGTGAATGGATAAACAAATTATGAAATATCAGTGCAATGGAATACTACTCTGTGATTAAAAGGAATGAACTATTGATAGATGCAACAACATGAATGAACCTCAAAAATATGCTGAGTGAAGGAAGCCAGACAAAAGAGTACATACTGTTTGGTATTTATATGGAACTCTAGGAAAGAAAAATCTCATCTATAGTGAAAGAAAGCGTATCAGTGGTTATCTGGGGCCAAGATGGGGATGGAATGGGCACAAAGGAACCTTTGGGGTGATGGAAATAGTCTATAGATACCTATCAGGAAGGTTGGAGATGGTAGAAATCTCAAAGGAGCACAGGTTACCACAGGACTGTGACAGTGTAATGGCCTAGGGAGTAATGGAGATTAAGGAAGATGTGAACTCTACTTCTTGAGCACTTGATCCTGAGGTATGAATGAATGTACAACCACCTTTTGAGAAGTGAAACAGTGTACTCAAGTCAGATTTCATTTAAGACCGAAAGGGGGTAGTGTGCATTCTGAGAAGAGGTTGTGAATATAGGTGAACTAATGGTCATCGAGCAGCAGAGTTGGTGAGTTGGAAGGGTTTCGGAGAAAGGTGGTAAAGAAGGTATGGGAGTTAGGGTTAGATTTGGTAATGCACTTTATAAAACAAGATTAAGCCCGACTGACAATGAATTAACACAAAGCCTTGCCCTTGTGTTGGTGTCTGGGGCCAACAAGTATATGTAAAGCATGATTAATTCTGATTGTCTCCTAGGGGAGGGTGGGTACTCATTTTGAATGCTGGGGTCTGAAATGTTTCAATTTGCATTTCTAGGCTCTAACCCTGAGTAAGGCTCAGAACAGACGGTTGGTAATATTGGAGAAAAGAAGACAGAATAAGAACTGTGTTATTGATAATAATGACAATATAGTTACTATAAGAAAAGTACATTTTTCACTCTGATTGGGAGCACATGTGCAGTAGTGCAAGGGGCTGTGATCTGGGCCTGAGGATTAATGTCAGTTCCACTCATCACACACACCACACTCTGAGGGCCCACTCTATGCCAGGTACTGTGCTCGGGGTTGGAGACATAAAGAGGAATTACCCATGGTCTCTGCTCTCAAGTTAACTCCTGGTTTGGTGGACAGACAGATGTTATCAAGTAAGTGTACTAAAGTTTGAGAAGTGCTGAAAGGAAGTGAGGGGGTGAGGGGCAGCCTGTTCTACCTCAGCAGTTCACGAAAGTCTTGCTAGAAGAATCTTGAAAGAGAAGCCGTGGGCGGCAGGCCTGAATCACCTATTAAAATGCCGAGCCTTTCTTTGTCCACCCATGAAGTGTACCAAATGCGTGATCGAGGATCTTAGCAGCTCCAACTAGCTCAGAGCTCTCCAGACGATGATAGCTCTAATTAAGGCCTAGAGGCGAGAGCTCTAACAGCCTTTCCTTGCGGCCCAGAAACAGTTGTGTTGCAGCGTAGTTCCTCTGATCCATGCTGGGCACACGGCTGTGAATGTGGCAGACTGGGCACCTCCGTCTGCTGCTAACCGTAAATGAGGTAGCTTGCCTCCTCCATGAGATACCCCCTGCTGGATGTGGTCAGAGGCTTACTGAGCCTTGGGTCCGTTCTCAGAGCTTACAAATTCAGGTTACAAATTCAGATAGTTTGTTAATAGGCACTAACTATTGGGCTGATTCCTTTCATGGCTTAAAATGTGTTTTTGCTAATCAGTCTTGATGACTCCCTGCCTAATTTGTGCAAAGGTGCTCATTTAGGGGCTCTCTATAGGGTCGCTATGAGTCGGAATCACTCCACAGCAACGGGTTTGGTTTTTGTTTTTTGTTGGAATCGGACGGAGTCTTTTCAAGTCTGGATCTTCATTTATATAGCAAATCTATAAGTAAGGTGCTCAAAGAAGCAAGATAGGAGAGGAGACCCCAGAGATTGAAGCACAAGTGGCTGACCCTCTGGGTATAGTTAATTGAGGCAGTTCCTTATCCGCTTGCTTCTTCTACATAGCAGCTCTCCCCTCCTCCCCTATTAGGACTTCTGTTAGGACTTCACTCCATGCCTTACTTGACCCAGGCTCAGGAGGATCCTATTCCCCATCCTCTTCAGCATGTCAGTGCTCAGAAGGAACTTCTGATCACCCTTCCTCCAATTCTGGATGTCTTTTGAGTACAGCACCTGTACACTGTACAGCTTCATCAAAATTCTGGGGGATAGAGACAATAGGGAATATTCATACATAAATGGGGAGAATGAAGGCATAGACAGATTAAGGAAATTGCCCAAGATACAGAGCAAGTAAATGGCAGAATCCAGGACTTCTCACTTCTAGTTTAATACTCATCTAGACTAGAATACTATTGCTAACAATCATAAAACTAGTATGATAATACTATTAATAACAATGTGATTATAATTATACTACTGTAATTCTCTAATTATAACAATACTATTGTTAATAATAACAACAGTAAAAACAATAATAGTGTTAATTATAGAAGCTACTGTTTATTGAGTCGCTACTCTATGCCAGGTATTGTATTATGGACTTTATAAACCTTATCTCATTGAATCCCCCAACAAATCTCTGAGTCTGGTGTTATCACACTCATTTTACATGTGATAAAACAGGCTTAGTGAGGTAAAACACCTTGTTCAAAGTCATATTGCTAGTAATTGGGAACTACCTGGACCTCAGTCTAGTTTAGTCTGACTCTAAAGCTCATGTTGTTAACCACAACAGTATGTGGCTCATATGTATATTTAAAATAATGGAAATATTGGAATTTTTTTTTACAACAGTGAATAAGGAAAATATTGAATTTAAGTTAACAATACCACCAAGAAAAGAATTGATCTAAAAGCAAGCTCTGGTTTGGCAAAAACTCACAAAAAATAGCTATAGGAACAGCTTTGGTTGTCCACGAAGCTCAGAAGAATGTGATGTGGCTACAGAAGCAATTTCCACAATAGTTTGCTGCATTATCAGGAGAAGAGTGTCCAGAATTAGGGAAGTGAAAACCCTACTGTGCTCAGACCAGGTCTGGAGTCTTGGGCTCAGTTCTGAGCTGTTCAGAAGAGAACTACCAGGATGGGGAAGGAGGAGGAATGAGAGAAGGAACTGGAGATGTTTAGTCTGGAGAAGGGCTGGGGAGGAAGGAGCAGGCTTTTCTGTCCACAGAAAAAAATGCTGAGATTAGTCAGTGGGCTGGGAATTAGAGGAAGACAGTTTCAGCCCTTAGGGTAGGTTTTTCTAATAAAAATAATAAAACAACCTCTCTTACAATGGAACGAGCTACTTACTGTTCAATGGAAATGGCTAAACAGAGGCTAGAGGACACATGTTAGAAGTACTCTACTGGAGATTCCTATGCCTGTGCTAATTGGGATGGGGTGGTTACTAGGTGGGACCTATTCAGCTTTGATGTTCTCTACTTTTTTTACTTTAAATTTTGAGTGGGGCACAACTCCTCCTTTCAAGTAGGAAGTTGGTAATCTCTTCAAATATGCCTTCAATGTCTTCCAGTAGCAATTGGTTCTCATCTTCTCTCTCCCCAGGTGTTACCACTGTACTCACCATGACCACCTTGAGTATCAGTGCCAGAAACTCCTTACCTAAAGTGGCATACGCGACGGCCATGGATTGGTTCATAGCCGTCTGTTATGCCTTTGTATTTTCTGCGCTGATTGAATTTGCCACTGTCAACTACTTCACCAAGCGGAGTTGGGCTTGGGAAGGCAAGAAGGTGCCAGAGGCCCTGGATACAAAGGTGAGATACAGCAAGAGAGGGGCTGGGAAGCACCCCCTGAGAGAACTGTATTGGGACCAGGAGTGGGCAGCCTGCAGCCTGCAGGAACTGGACAGGGCTATGTGCTGTACACTGGGGTCATCAATCCAATTCTCAACTGGAGTGCTTCTTGGCAATGTGGAGTGTTGGCTGGGGGCAAAGGAAAGAGGTCAGGTGTCATGGAGGATTGATGTCTTGTGGTGGGGTATCAAACCTAAGTCTGATACTGAAAGACTCAAGGGGAACTCACTGGTATTTACCAAGTCACCCAGAAGAGTGGACTCCATCTTCAGCACAGAGGAGAACAGTATCTAGAGTCACTTGTACCCCTCCCCCCACTTCCCAGTATATTCACATTAGAATCACACCAAAGTGATCGTCATTCTTTCTGGGTCTTTGCTCATTCTGTACTCTCTACCTGAAATATTCCTTTCTTTTTTCTGTGCCTCATAAACATCTGCTCATTCTTCAAGACGTAGCAGAAATGCTACTTTCTCCATAGAGCCATTCCAGAGTCATATAGACTTAACTTTTCTTGGGAGGAGGGTGCTTCTCATATTAAAAGCATTTATTTGTGTTTTAGTTATTTGTCTGCCTTCTCACTAGACTGTGGACTTCTTGAGGGCAGGATCTTGTCTGCGTCGTCATTCTAACTATCCAGCATCCTTGCACAGCATCTGACTCATAGTAAAAACTGAATAAATGTTGGTTGGACTGATGGATGGACAGGAAGGAAAAAGAGAGAAAAAACAACAACCCGACTAAAACATGATTACAGTGAAATCAAGACTGGTGTCCCTAACTGCTTTAAACGAGTTCAGGTCTCTAAATCTGGATGAAGACCATTCAGCGATGTTAAAAAGAACCGGTAGATGGGATCCCTGAACCATTCCAGCATTTTTTGAAGAATCATGGAGTAGAGAAAAGGTCATGAAGAGTTTTCAAAATGGGGGGAAAGATAGATTTCGTAGTGTATAGAGTGGTGAATTGGCAAAGTTTTAGAGGCGTGCCTTCATGAATCTGAGGGACGAATGATTTTTAATCTATAATCCGATGTCTAGCCAAACTATCAATTACGTGGAGAGGCAAAATAGTCATTTTCAGACCTGCAAGAACTCAGACGTGTCACCTCCCATGTATCCTGTCTTAGGAAGATACTGGGGAATATGTTCTATTAGAACAAGGGAGTAAAACATAAAAGAGAAAGACATGGGATCCATAAAAGAGGGAATGCAACAGAGACAAGAAGTGAAGGGAAGTCCTAAAATGACAGCTAGGCAGCAAGCCTCGAGAGGAACCTGTCCAGTTTGGAGAAGGAGGCTAGAGGTATTGGTGACCGAACTAAAAATCTTGCTGTAATTGTGTTGGAGGATAGGGGAAGGGTGGCGTTTAAGTGAGGTAAGTCATTATTTATAATCTTCACTGAATGACCCCTCCACTTCCTGTCTTTTCATAGTGAGAACACAATTGGCGGTGTGCAAAACTCATAGCAGTGTGAGCACAGTATTCATAAATGACTATTAGGAGTATCAGTGAAGAGAATTAAAAATAATTACCTCAGAGGAGCTGGACAAAGGGATGAGGTGCATCAGGGTAAGGGTTTCCAGGCTTTCATTACACGTCTTTCAGTTCTATTTCTTTTAAACTATGGGAATGTACTTGGATTAAAATTTAAAAAACTAAAAGTAATAAAAACAAAATGAAAAAATAAATCTGTACATTTAAAAAGAAGATACTTATTTTTAGAATTGCTTTTAAAATATTTATAAATTCTTACCTAAATTTTGGAAACAGTCATTCTTAGACTCTTTTTCTTATTTTCAAATGAGAAAATCCTACCATCTTGCTCTAGAATAATATTTTATTTTCTATTGGAGAAAATGCTCAATTCCGTCCATAGCTTGGAAAAGTTTAGTTTCTTATTACTGCTTTTAAATCTATGGAGCGTTCCTGTAAATTGAGTCACCCCTTGGTATTGTCCCTGTGAGCTGAAAACATTCAATGTAGGGTTAGGTTTTACTCAACAACTAATGATCCTCCCACCCTATTCTACCGTAGGCATAAATGCCCCGACAACATACTCTATAACTGGTGAACTGATGGAAAGAAAAACAAACAGCAGGCCTGTCTGGGATATCTGTGGGATGCAGAGCTCAACACCACATGGCCCCAGCACTCAGGAGTGACAGTCTAAGGAGAGCAGTAAGGTTATATATACGTAGACCTACTGAGTACTGCACAAGACCAAGTGCTGAGTGTCACAGGGAAGAGAAAACCGAAGTGCTCCGTCTCCATTTTTTTCCTTTTTTTTTTTTTTTTTTTTTTTTTACCTTATTTACCACCTGGCTGTTTCCTGAGGAAATACTTCTTCAGCTTCCCTTGCAGGGGGAGGGCCCTCCTCATTCCTTTCTGTTGCTTTCAGTCCTTACCTACTCCTTTACCTCACGTCAGCTGCTTCATCATTGACGCTCACCTCATCTTGCCATACCGCTATTTTTCTTCATCTTGCTCATCTTACTAACATCATTGTTTCTTATCCATGTTCATTTCATATATGGTACTTTTACAACTATTTTACATTATTTACAAACACCCCAATTCCTGTCTTTGTTCTTCGCTTGGATGACCCATTGGACATCATAAACTGTAATTAAGTTATGACCAGCTCTATTAAATGCGGTCCGAGTTGTCCCAATTGCCAGGCACTGCTGCTGTTTCCCCCACTGGTGAGGATGTTAGAAATGAACGAATCTCATTGCCTGTATACTTGGTCTAGGGTTTCTTTAGGAAGACCATGAGAGTAAGTCAGCCAATAGTAGTAGTATGTTTGGAACTGTCACCTAGTATCAGAAGAGCCTCGTAATCAATTGTATTGCAGACACACGAGGGCATATGTTCTACTGGCATTACGTGCCATCCTTGGTCACTGCCCAAGCTGCAGTTTCCTCTGGAGTTATTTATGCTTTTCTCACTTCTTATCTTTATGACCCCTCCCCTTCCTATCTTAGCTGACACCTGATTATCAGCTGAGACGTCCCTTCCACTGCCTTCCTGGTTGGTGGAAGCTGTTTATCCTCTGACTTCCATTTTCCAGAAGTGGAGTTCACATCCTCTTCATTCCCAACGCGGCTTTCAGACCATTACTCTTCCACTCTTTTATATTAAAGCAGTCTCCTTTGAAGCTCCAGCTCTTCACCTGGCTTCTCATATATCAGGATTTCCGGCTTTTTCTTTTCTTCTTTGGTATTCTCCTTTGCACTATCTTTGTCTTCTTCCTGACTTCTAAATGTTGGAGTCCCCCAGGGCTCAGTATTCAGACCTCTTTTCTTCTGCCCAACAGTCAGAAAGATCATTTTAAATTGTAAATTAGAAACATTTTTCTCAAAATACTCTAATGGCTTCCCACTACACTTAGATCAAAATCCACAGTCATTACCATGGTCCTCAAAGCCTTCTAAGATCTGGGCCCCAGATCCATGATGTTACCTCTTACCATCTCTGTTTCGTTTTTTGGCAAGATGTTTTTTTTTTCATTCACTCCGCTCAGGTCACAGTGGTCTCTCTGATAATCCTTGAACAAGTCATTCGCATTGTAACCCGAGATGGTCTGTCCTTACTGTTCTCTTTCTCTAGAAATTTTGGTGTTAGATTTTCTCATACTTGCTTGCTCATTTTATCCAGGCCTCTGCTCACGTTCTCAGAAAGACCTCTGACTACTCTGTCTAAAATAACACCATCATTCTCTGCCCCGCCTTGCTTTATGTGTCTCCGTCACACTCATCACCTCCTGGCATTACATTGCTGTAGGTCTTCATATGCTTACGTGTTGATTATATGCCCCCTTCCCTGGAATGTAAGCTCCTTGAGGGTAGGTCCACGTTATTCTGTTCACTGCTGTCTCTCCAGCACCTAGCACAGTATCTGCCACATAATAGACACTCAGTAAATATTTAATAAATGAAGGAATAACCTCTGCATTTTCTCTGAATCTATGATTCCCTCTGCTTTCTGTCGGTCTCTATCCGGCTTAGACCCCGTGGTGTATCACTGTGGTCACTCCCCAGCACTCTTGACCACAAGAGTCACTTCCATCCGCCTCCTCTACTTCTCTCTGAAAAAATCCCAGAGCCATTGATGTGCTGTGAACATCTATGAGCTTACTGTCTTCAGTTCTGCTGGTCCCTCAACTTGTGCCTATAATCCTTCTGTGTGTCACATACCAGTTCTGCCTTCTATTTCCCACAAAATTTACCTTAAATCTTGACTTTTCCCTTCACCTAGCTCATGGAGAAGACAGAAGCCATTGGCAGAGATTTGCCTGAACTCACTCTGTACCTCTCCTTCCCATTCTTTCCTCCTCAGCTGTACTCTGGCCCTAGGTTAACTCCCCACTTATGCTGTAGATACTTCCTGTCCTCACAGGAAACTGGTACAAATGATTTTCTTCTACTCTCATTTTCTCTCTTACCTGACCTCTCCAAATCTATTATGCCCCATCCTCTTTTGAATTCCCCTGATTATTATTTATCCCTCTCTGAGTGTTTATTGCATTTTCTCCCTTAGATGTTGTTGTTCTTGTTAGGTGCCGTCAGATTGGTTCTGACTCATAGTGACCCCGTGTACAACAGAACGAAACATTGCCTGGTCCTGCACCATCCTAACAATTGTTGTTATGCTTGAGCCCATTGTTGCAGCCACTGCGTCAATCCATCTCATTGAGGGTCTTCCTCTTTTTCAATGACCCTCTTCTTTACCAAGCTTGACGTCCTTCTCCAGGGTCTGATCCCTCCTGATAACCTGTCCAAAGTATATGAGACGTAATCTCGCTATCCTTGCTTCTAAGGAGCATTTGGCTGTACTTCTTCCAAGACGTATTTGTTTGTTCTTCTGGCACTCCATGGTATTTCAATATTCTTCACCAACACCACCATTCAAAGGCATCAATTCTTCTTCGGTCTTTTGCATGCATATGAGGCGATTGA